TATTTTTTTTTTATAAAATGATTATTATTGCAGTAATGAGAATATATTTTTTTCTTTTGGTTTGAGAGAATTTCTTTATTAGACATAAGAAATGTTGGTGACTGACTCTACAGTTAAACTAGTTTTTGACATATGCTTACTTTCAGAACTACATGTGAAGGCCACCGTCCTGAATTTGATTATTGTAAGACAATGCTGAACTTTTTGTCCTTGATTTGCAGGTCATGATTCTGATCACAGGGGCTCATAAGGCCTTTGCCCTGTATAAAGCCATCGAGGAGGGTGTGAACCACATGTGGACGGTATCTGCCTTCCAGCAGCATCCACGAACCATTTTTGTTTGTGATGAAGATGCAACGCTGGAACTCAGGGTCAAAACTGTGAAGTATTTTAAAGGTACGTGACTGAGCACTCTGCTGCCTGAGGGGCAAATCTTTGACCCCCCGTAGATGGAAAGTTGCTTGAAGATCAAAGGACTGGCAAATTGACTAAATAGTTAGTTATTATAACAAGCATCGAAAGGTAATCAAGTAACATGTTCATTCAGATTTACCAGTTTGCTCTTAAAATATAAAATTGTTAATTTGATAAAGGTGTTTACTGTTGTGACTTCATGAAATTCTTTACATCCTCGTGGCCTCAGGATTCATATATATATATATATATATATATATATATACTACTGTTCAAAACTTTAGACCAAGTAGAATTTTTTTTTAGAAATACTTTTATTCAGCAAGGATGCATTAAATTGATATTTACAATGTTTCCAAAGATTTCTATTTCAAATATATGCTCTTCTTTTGAGCATTCGGTTTATCAAAAAATCTTGAATAAAATGCATTTCCACAAAAACATTAAAGGGGTGGTTGACTGGTTTTGTGATTATGGGGTGCAGTCTAACATGTTCATGCTTCTTTTTTGTTTTTTTAAAAACGCATTCTTTTTCACATAATTTACCTTTATTCTTCACCGCTCTGTCCCTTCTCTGATAAATGCGCTGATCATTTCCTGCTTTTATGAAGCCCCTCCCTCAGAAATATGCGATGGACTCTGATTGGTTACCTAGTCCAGTGTGTTGTGATTGGCTCAACCGCCTCTAGTGCACGTCTAAGCGTCACGCTCCTCAGCTCAGCGGCATGTGCTCCGGTTGTATTGTAAACAATGGCGTCATCTATATTGCTTATCAATTTGAGCCTGATTGAGACGCAGAGGATATTATTGAAGAGGATCACGCAGAACCTGTGCAAGCACGGCTTTTAATGGCAGGCCTATGTTTTTTGCTTGTTGTTGTCTCATACTTTTAGATACGCTGTTATTTGTAAATGCTAATGCTTATGTTAGCTTTTAATATACAGTTTTATACTGATGAAAGCTTTAATACAGTACGGCAACTGCACATACTTTATGTTTAATTCTTCTCGTAGCTATGTGAAAATATGTAAACAAACTTATTTTGGATGCAATCAATCGATTTGACAGCACTAAATATTTCATAATATTAATGTTTTGCTGTATTTTTCACAAAAAAAATGCAGCCTTGGTGAACTTAAGTGAGGTCTTTTAAAAACATTAAAAAAAAAATCTTACCAACCCCACAATTTTCGCCATCCTTTTTTCCCTCGTAGCAAACCCAATAGAGCAGCTGTTTGTTTGCTTTTCATCTTTTTTACTGATCTCATCTCGGTTTTAGTGGTTGGCTCGTCTCAAGGTCAATATCTGTCTAAAGACGGCAGGTTCAAGATCTAAACCCGTCTGGAATGTCCATCACAAGCGCTTTTCTCAGAAACACGATCTGTCCCGTCTTAAGGGCTTTGGTCTCTCCTGGGGGTTTAATATCTTTGGCTGGGCTGGATTTCCTAAACATACTGATGGATCTTCTCTCCTACAGGGCTGATGCACGTCCACAATCAGCTAGTTGAGCCGATGCTCAGCGTGAAGGACTACATGGACTGAACACGCCAGACGGGACGTCTGGAAAAACGACAGAAAAATCGGAATGCCATGAGTGGAAACTGGCCTCAGGGACCACAGCAGTTTTGAATGGTCATAAAGTGTTTAGAGGTCTACATCAGCATAAAAAGTAGATGTTGTACAAAACGCCTCTGCTTTCCATGGTGCCATGTTCACGTACTCCAACTGGATCTCTGTATTAGCCTTTATAATTCACTTCTAAACTACTTCAAGGCCAGTATTAACAGGAAAAGACCATGTTTTATGGAAATTGTACTAAGAAACATTCTTTATTAACACTTTCAGCTGTTTACTGTTTTATATAACACTATCACACTCCTTCACATCACTAATGAAAAAAAAAGCTTCTGTTACAGTGTACATATCAGTTGTATTGTACTGTAGTTTAATCAGGAAATAATGAAGGCCTGCATTTAAAGCTGAGCATGTGTTTTCACTGATGATGGAGTTTTTTTAATAACACGCTGTAACACACAGCTACTTAAAGTTAACTTGAATGTGGAATTGAACTCCAAGGCAACTTATTGAACGTGTTTTTTGGGAATAGTTTTTTTTAGATGTTACATAAATACACTTTAAAGTCTTTTCCTTAAATTCTCCAAATTTAGAATCTCTCCCTATACATATGAAACCTTGAGGATTTCTGATACCCACAATCATTTGTAGCGTCTTATATCCTGATAAATATGAGTTAATAGGTAGTGGAAGCTGAACTGCGATCAGAATTTCCTACTAAGTACATGTAATTTTATATATCATTATCTTAAATTTATACATTTCATAATCTTGCCTTTGAATGAATCCAGGTTACTTGCAGCATGTAAAAGCCAGTGGAAAATGCTGGAAAAGTGTATTTCGTGTTTGCTTCTTCATATATTAAAAAGGCTTTTATTGGCACATGTGAGTAGAGAAGTGTGTGAATGCTTTTGAAGTTGACCAATTTCACACGATTGTGCAGTACTCATGTATTCTCTTTAGTTTCTGTTCTTTGTGATATACAGGCTATTTCGTTTCTCAAAAATATAAGGCACGAGTCTGACATTTAGCTTTCATTTCATCGCTTTCTGAGTTTGTGCTGAGTTTTTGTTTTTGGTGTTTCTAAACCCTCATGTACTGTACTTTAGTGAATGTTTTTGGAAGGAGAGTATACATTTTTATGGATTTACACATTCCTTTCCATTAAATTGTTAAAAGATCATGTGAACTGACTGTTAACAGATTTGCACTCCAAAAACCAAATCATCCTCTTGTGTCTTTCTGTACTCATGAATGGATAAATAAAAAAGTTGTGCCTCAATAGTACACAATTTGTACAGACAGAATGAATCTTACAGAAAGATGTCCAGGTCATATTTTGAGTACCACATGTTGCACTTAGTTCACAAGTAATTTCCACATTCAAAATTGGTTATAAAGAAAACAATATAACCATATATACCGGAGGAAAAGACTATTTTTTGAGTACGTTTGAATAATATGGCTGAAATACATACATTCACCTCTTCAGTTCACTAGCAAGCAATTCAAACATTGCTCTCCCAGTAGATTGATTCACAAATCTTCAGCAACATCATAACTACCCTCCCAAAACTGGCATCAAAATTCCTAACCCCAACGGGGTACAATTTAATGTTCTCCATATCTGTAATAATCGAATAAAGAACAATTTATTGAAGCGTAATGCATTCAAATGGTTTTCAAATAATATATTTATTTTAGCAGTCTAAATGACTGTCCTAACCACAAGCTCGAAACACACTTGAATCAAAGCCATTCCAATATGAATAACGTTTTTTCAATTAAAAAGGGCGAAATTTGACTAGTTTACAACCCTGGATATTTCTCTCGATTGTCAAATAACAGTAAAGCACACATTTTTTTGATTTGACTGGCCATCTAAATTATTTTGACATTGACGAATGCTGACAAATGTCACGGACCCCTGAGGCAGCTTGCTAGCCTAACAGTAATCTTGGCGTACAATATTTTTGCAGCATATTTTTGAAGATTTTTTCTTCTTTTACTTTTTAGCGGGCCACCAATTAGAAAGGTGGCGTGCTCAATTGCAACTGTCTTAAAAATATTGTCAAAGTATTAAAAAACATTTATTGCCCTAAAACGGTTAATTTTCTATATGCACTATAAAATCCTTATATGTTTTTGATTATGGGGTGAAATATGACATGGATATGTTCTAGTCTTGTCAGAATCACCTGATTTTTTCTTAGAGTTGCAAAAGCTCAAACACTCAGAAATGTTTGAGAAAATGTCCTAGACTGGACTATTTTCAGCCTTACGTCCACAACCACTGCAACTCCCTCTGCAGCTTGATGGAAAGAAATGTGTTCAAAGGAAAACAGCGCTGCCAAATACTTCTGCATCCACACAGTCTAAACGTTTCCAATGAAAACCCTTAGCTTGCAGTCTCTGAATCCGTTCCTGAGAGAACTGTGCTGTTGTTTCAACATGATGAAGATGAATGCGTCAAACCTGCTTTATGTTCCCAGATCAACATCACTTAGTTATATGAACTTTAATAGCATTTCTAAATCAATCACCATACTGAACATTGGCATGTTCATATTCACAAATCAACCCCCGGCTTTGATGTCTGTTATGATTATGTTACTGAAGGAACTACTTCCGTTTAAGAACGTTGATGAACGCGTCTTTTGGGACGTCAATGTTTCCAATGCGGCGCAATTTCTTCTTTCCCTCAGCCTGCTTCTTTAGCAGTTTCATTTTTCGTGTAACGTCACCGCCGTACTAAGAAAGACAGATGTGACCAAGAATCAGCAGCTAATCAAAAAAGTAGAAGAAAATTTTTTTCTGTATGAGAAGAGGTACTCACACATTTTGCTAGAACATTCTTTCGATATGCTTTTATCCTAAAAGTGGGAAACGAAGATAAGGAACATTAAAGGAGTAGTTCACCCAAAAATAAAGTTTTGCTTCTAATTTATCTCACCCTCAGGCCATCCATGATATGCTGTAGATGAGTTTGTTTCTTCATCAGAAAAGATCTGGAGAAATTTAGCGTTACATCACTTGCACTGCAGTGAATGGGTGCCGTCAGAATGAAAGTCTAAACAGCTGATAAAAACATCACAATAAATCAAAAGTAATCCACATGACTCCAATCTATCAATTAACGTCTTGTGAAGTAAAAAGCTGCATGTTTGTAAGAAACAAATCCATCATTAAGGCATGAACTTTAAACTGTCACTTCTGGCCAAAATACAGAAGTGCATACTAGTCCATAATCCATAATAACGCTTCCTCCAGTGAAAAAGTCCATCCCGTTGTCCTCTCACATCAAAATCCACCCACATATTTGTTTACAACTGTTTTTACATGTAAATGGTGCTTGATCTGTGCATATTTATCTCCTGATTCAGACAAGACAACTTTTTCACTTGAGAAAGAAATATTACGGATTATGGACTCATATTTTCGATGGAAGCAAAGGTTTGAAGTTAAGAATGGCTTAATAATGGATTTGTTTTTTTTACAAACACGCCACTCCACAAGATGTTAATTAATGCACTAGAGTTGTCAATTATTTCTGGATGATTGTGATGTTTTTATCAGCTGTTTGGACTCTCATTCTGACGGCACCCATTCACTGCAGAGGATCCATTGGTGAGCAAGTGATGTAATGCTACATTTCTCCAAATCTGTTCTGATGAAGAAAGAAACTCACTTACATCTTGGATGACCTGAGGGTGACATAATTTTTAAGCAAATTTTCATTTTTTAACTATTCCTTTAAGTTATCTCGGAAACACACACAATACAATACGTCCACACTTACGTTTCTCGGGCAATGATTTTGCTGCCGATGGCTGCTTGCACTGCAATCTCAAACATCTGTCTGGGGATGGACTCCTTCAGTCTCTCACATATAGCTTTACCCGCACTGTACGCTTTGTCTCTGAACACAAGGACAAATCAGAGCTGGTGTCATTTTTTTTTTAGCAATCACATCACAAACATGGAAGATGAAATCGAGATGCCGCCAATTTCCAGCTCAATTCATACACAAAATGGTAGCTGCAGTTGTGTTTTTCAGAAAAAACTAAACACAGCTGTTGATCTTAATAGCCATATTCACGTTTTTAAGGGGTTTGGGTAATTAATTACCTCTAAATTATCAAATAACTTAGAAATACCTCTTGAAATATAAATAAAACTGTAATTGTATCATGAAAGGTCAAGACTTGCTTATGAACGATAGTGGCAAGTTCCTCCACTGGCCGCCCGTTGAGGAGGAAGTCCATCTTAATCAGGTCAGCAGCCTCATAACCAGCATCCTCGTAATCAAAACTACGGAAAACAGGAAAACAAATTTACAGAAGTGACATCCAGCTCATCCAGAAACTCAAAGTGACATATCTATCCAGATATCAAAATTCAACGTTTTCTAAAATTAGTCTTTTTCTAATGCTTCCTAAGGGGCCGTTCACATATCTCGTCTTTTGCACGCTCAAGTTAGTTATTTCAAATGTAGACTCATAATGGAAGCGACGCACTCATTTTTTCCAGGTGCGTCGAGATAAAAACATTTCAACTTTTCAGAATGCCGCAAGTGCACCGTCTTTTTCTAATGCTTCCTAAGGGGCCGTTCACATATCTCGTCTTTTGCACGCTCAAGTTAGTTATTTCAAATGTAGACTCATAATGGCAGCGACGCACTCATTTTTTCCAGGTGCGTCGAGATAAAAACATTTCAACTTTTCAGAATGCCGCAAGCGCACCGCGGGTCATGTGACAAGAACCAACCAATCAGCTTCATCCTTTCCTGTAACAACATTGAAAGCTCAGCCAAGATGAAGGAACAGCTGATCATAGCTGTACAGGGATAGCCATTTTTAAATAAGGTTAGTAGCAGAGCTACTGCAAGCAATTTTTAGTGCTGCAAATCAATTTATCCTTTGCCGAAACTTCCCCGTCCCTACTCTGTCGTATCTCACTTTTATTCGTCTCTGTTTTCTTTTGCCTGTGTAATGTTCCCTGATAGCGCACGTACATCACGGAGACGTCTATTTGACGTCTACAAGACGTATTTTTTAGTGTTTGCTCATCTGCAGTACATCTAAAGGAAGTTTACTATCAGATGTCAAATAGACGTTTAGAAAATGTCTTTAAGATGTTTATGATTTAGAATGTATGTAAAACTGACGTCTATCAGGTGTTTGTACACAGCAGATGCTTTCCAGATGAAGCGATCTTTAACAGACATCTTGCAGACGTACGTGTGCTATCTGGGTTTGTTCTGCTTGGATTATGTATTTGTTTCATGTATTATGTACTTGTAAAGCGACCTCGAGTTTCTGAAATGTGCTATATAAAAGTATTATTATTAATATAAGCACTAATTCATTCTTTCACAACGAGCTCACCTGGCGTATCCTGACGACATGGATTTGAGCTGGTCGTAAAAGTCCACCACGATTTCGTTTAGAGGGAAGATATACTTTATCATCACCCGATGTTCATCGATGTAGAACATGTTCTTCTGAATGGCCCTGCGGCTCTTTAACAAGGCAGAGAATCGCATTGTGGGTCACTACAAATGCAAGACTCAGAATATGCTTTCACAGAAACTGGGAGGCAAATTAAGTAGATTTAGTCGCTTTGGACTTTTTCTTTGAATTAGGAGAGACCAAGATTGTTACTTTGTGAGTTACTTAGAGTGAGTAAACCACGCTAAACTGCAGTCAACCTGAAAGGTGACTGACCTAATCTCACCTGACACAGGGTCATGATCTTCCCAGTGAAGTCATCCGGAGCGATGATGGTTCCCATCACCATGGGTTCCAGATACTTCACCACCTGTGACTTATCAGGGAACTGAGCAGGGTTGATGATGGTGATCACTTCTTCACCGTGTTCCTACAAAACAAAAACTCAACTGAGGAATTTGTTCCTCAACCCTTTCTTAATGAAGTGAAGTGAAGTGAAGTGACATGTGGCCAAGTATGGTGACCCATACTCGGAATTAGTGCTCTGCATTTATCCCATCCAAAGTGCACACACACAGCAGTGAACTGCTGTCCCTTTGAACCGTCACGCTGGAGTCGTTCAGCATCAGTTTCTCCACAGCACTGCGCAGGGCTGTGTATTCTGACTGGTCCATGGGATACATGCCTGAAAGTGTCACACAATTCCAGATTTACAACACTGTAATCCTAACCTTTAAATTTTGGCATACGCAGTTTAGCACAAACATCAGGACGGTTTTAGAAACACACCTGCAAAGACCATGGATTTAGCCGGTTTGAACCCTGGCAGCGCCTCCACAGGCTGTTTATGGAGG